AAACTGACGCCGCGTATTGGAAATCTTCCTGGGATCACAGGGTTTGGCAAGCTCTCGAAGAACGAGCTGACCGAAAAACCCGCATTCCCCACAGATCCACACTCCAGACTGCTGAGAGAAAATCATGCAATGAGACTCGTGCACCAGACCCCCCCCCACATGTACCCTCGACCCCTGCGGTGGTCTCCAGGTACCATCCCCAGTCGCTTCGAGCTCGAAACACGGACTGGCCATCCAAGCGGCCCTGGCGGCTGCCGTGGAGGAGCCTCGGCACCTGATGCACCGAGCGCCTGTCTCGTCGAGGGCATGTGCCGACGAAAACATGGCCGCAACGGCTGGGGCGGGAGGAGCAGGGGGGGGGGCGGCAGCAGCAGCAGCAGGAGGGCGCTCAGACTGATTTTCAATCCTACGGGCTCTGACAGAGGCTTCCATCGCGGCCAACGTGGATCTCAACAATCGCCTTCGCACCACTCTCGCCATCTGCTCTGATAGCAGCAAACGTGCACGATCATGTTCAGACACTCTCGCAACCTGCGCAGCAACATTAGCAATCTCATCGGCGGCCTCGTTGCCTGCAACCATCCAGCCGGGAAAAAGTCGAAACTCCTGGTCGGACGGAGCGACACGAGAAGCGACTTTGAGAACCACAACTGAACCAATGCGAGCCTTCATCAGCAGGCCGATCTGCCGCCACGTGGCGGCCATGACTCCACTTGGCTGCTCGTACAGCCTGGAAGCCCATCCTCGCGAAACTTCATCATTGTCTGTGACGTAAACAAGGTCCCCGAGTGAAAGGCGAATGGCCAACTCGAGGCCTCGAAGCTCTCCCCTGGGAACGGACTGAAGTCTTCCAGCCAGCGGACCAAGGACGACGGGGCCGATTTGGAAAGGTCGGAGCGAGGCAGCTGCAAGCAAACCCACACCCACCCTCCTCATCCTGACGTCTCCTCCTTCCTTCCCGCCAGACGCATCTCCGAACGCATACACTGGGTTCCCAGGTAAACCAGTGCCCAGGGCTCCAGGGACCAGCTCCGCGGTAAAAATATCCACAAAAGACAAGTTTCCCTCCTCGGGAGGAGGGGGCACGAACGTCCAACTGGTTGGTAACAACCCTCTGTGCCAGAATACTGTTTCTGCTTCTCCTTGGGCGACGGCCTTGGGAAGCAAATGATCTGACTCCTCGAAAGCTGGATGCTCGCAATTGCTAGGGCAAAGCCAGTGCCTGTGCAGCGGTGTCTCTGCGACTGACCCGCGACCCGCAAGCTTGCACCTAGGACATTCGTTCGTGCTGATCAATCCTGCCTGAAATTTACGATCCTCTGGCCAACACCCCCCAGTGGCAATGCACAACATGACCTCTGCTAACTGCCTGCCGTGCTTTGCTGATTCAAGCTGCTTGAGAAGACACCTCAAGGAAAGATTATCCACCCCTCCCGAGATACCTGCCCCGCAGAAATGAGACTCTGCTGCTGCCCACTGGTGTGCTGCCAACGTGTCGCGAAAATCTTGAAGCAAGCCCTCAGCCTCGTCGATGGAGACCAGAGCTTCAGCTGGGAAGGTCCATTGAAAGTCGTACCCCCTCCAGGGAGCGCTGGTCCTTTCCAGTCGTTGGGAGCCGTCGGTGTCCAACCTGCAGACAGAAGGTGAGTAATGCCCGCTGAGATAGGACCCCGAATGTGACGTGACCTTCTGTTAGGTTCGATTGCTTCTAAATCCCTCCGAACGGCATCCCTAACTCGAAATACACCAACGTGAGACTGAGGAAACCTAATCCAGCAATCCAGCCAAGTCCTGAGGCACGACGTGGGTAACGAAATCCCTGGATCCCGATGAGGAGCTCTGAGGTCCAGGAGGGTAGTGAGGCATTTGCCTTTTTTCCCCGAACCTGAGACTCCCCCAAGACGTTGTCGTAACCTCCTGAGTTGATAGCCCATAATACCGTAAATATCTACTCCGTAATTAGAGCAAGCCTGAGGACCAGCCAGCTCAATCTTCTTGGTGGTGAGATATCGCCTAGCTGCCCTAGAATATCCCTTCAACCTGCGGTGTTGCGCAAGCCCCTTGGCGGCCCGTTGCCGTCTGGTACGTCTGGCATGCCTGACTCCTGCGCCTAGGTCAATGCCCAGGTATGACGCCTGCAAAACTGCCTTGACTTGAATACGCCGACGCTTTAGCCGACATGCAATTTGCTGCGCTGCAGAATGAACGGGGCTGATAACAACACTCTTGTCTGCCAACTGAAGGTGATACTCTTCCATAGACTCCGCCACCTGACTGATACATTGGACTGTAGAATCAACCACGGCCCTATGCGACCCCACACTTTGCAGCATCAAATCGTCAATCCAAATCCTTTGGGTGGCCGAAAACGGAGCCTGGGAGATTCTTTCAAGACTGAAATAAATTAAGCACCTGGCAAACCTGGTCCCGTTACGGAGCCCCTGGGCAATCGATTTGTGGGGTTGACACGCCTGACTGTAAGCCCCGCTCTGGCTCAAAATACGGGGCGACATGTATTGCTGAAGTTCCAGGCCCAACATAACCGACGGGAGCCCAAGTTTCAACGCGGTATCCACCAGGATGTCCCAGAGGATGGAATCGTAAAAGCCTTTAATATCCAGGATAGCCTGACTAAAAGAGACCCCCAGACGCTTGCAAACTTCAGCATCCAGAACTCTCCGAACAGCTTCCCTTAAAGCCGAGTTGCCAGAGATTGCAGCGCCCCATGCTGGTGTGGTCTCCGAATTCCACACCTTGGCATGCCCATCTCTCGCCAGGGACCAGAGACGGCACACCATGCATAGTAATCCGATCACCCTGTCCCCTCCAGACTTCTTGGCTAATAATTTTCCCAGCACCGCTAGTACTTGCCAGGGCCATGTGAGCGCCTGCTCACAAGCCGTAAAAAATTGACAGAAAGATTTCAATGCCGCATCTGGTAGCCCCTCGAAATCGAGAGGCGTGAATTGATCGATGCCAAGGCCTGCTGATGCTCGCATTTTCCGAAGCGCTGCACGCAAGTCCTGCACCGTGAGTTCTGGTAGCTCATCCGAGACCGCCTCACCACGAATGCGAGACATGAGCTCCAACACATGTGATGGCGTGACTGGATGTTCCGACCAGAGCATGTGATACTTCTCAGCCTTGGCATCGATGAGATCGATAGGATGAAAAAGTCTAACCCCGCGGTGCAAAAACTCGTGATCTGAAACTGGCTCCGAACGCAAGCTCCGAAAAAACTTGGCCTTGCTTGCTGCCGTCGACGATCCACTGCTGAAAACGATACAAGGAGCGACGCATTGCCTTACGCCGGGCTCACGCCGAGGTCCCCGAGAGACTTGAGGTAGTGAACCCAAGCTTCAAGAGAAGGCTCCAAAGTATGCGTAAGAATGACTGTATGGGCCCCCTCGGGAGCGTCCTCGGATAACTTAGTGCCTGTGTGCAGAAATTCTTTGATCTGCTTGCCCCGTTATCCCGTTGCCGATGTTTGCAGAGCCTCGAAATGATAACCGAGACCCTGGCCCACCAAGTAGCAATCTTGTCGGACAGCGGAAGCTCGCGATATTTCTGCGCCTGCTGCACTGGCTGCCGAATGAGTTCTGGACCGTCGGCTCTCGACCGTCCACGAAACACATCTCCCAAAGGACCGGCAGACTGATGAGCTGATATCGTTCTTTCGGCAGCCTGGGCCCAAGCTGCGAATAGACTGCTGACCCCCAATATGTACGATCCCCCAGCCTGATACGCATGTGACTCAAGAACAAAAGAGACAACATCGCTGCAGGCTTGAGGAACGAAACCCACTTGAACCAAATGGTGACGCCAGCTGGAGTCAGGAATGGAGAAAGAGGGACTGGGCGGCTCAGCCTTGCTGAAAGATTCCTCTCGAACATCCTGACCTGGGGGTTCAAACGTGGTGGGGGGGGGTCCGAATTCAGCTGATCATTCTGCCTGACCTCTCCAAGGTCTTCTTCAGGAAATAATGAATTATCCTCGTCCTCGCCCCAAAGCGCTGGATCAAGATCGAAAGGATCTGACTCGGCCTGCGGCCCAGGAGCCTCGGCGCCTCCAGAGTCCGACTGGCCGAGCAGATCTCCGAAATACTCCTGACACGCTTCGCGAAAAGATTCGATTGCTAGCTGCCTGGCCTGGGCTCTCTTGGCCTTGCTCTTGCTGGTCCGACTCCCGACCTGAGGAAGAGTTCCAGGGCGGGAGACCTGCGGTAGCTTAGCGGGCAACTGCAAAGCGCGGGTGACGAGTGACTGGTTACTACCTGCTAGCTGAACGACTAAACCACAGTGAGTGCCCCATGGCACGTCTAGCCAGGCTTGAATTCCGAGAATGCACGGTCTGGCTGAGACGCTGGCCACGAGGTAATCTATGTGACTGCTGCCTGTGCCTGTGACGCAAGTGACCTCAATGTCCGCGGTCATGGCGACCGCTTCGAGATTGTCAATAAACTTGCATTTATTAAGCGCAGACGGAGACATATTAAAGTCGCCCATGATGATCCAGGGAAACGAAAGCGCAGAAACGAAAGCTCCCAAACGGGTCAACCTACGGGCATTATCTCCAGAGAGCCCTTGGGAGTGGAGCCCGTAAAAGAGCACAAGCACTATCGAATACCCTTGCATATGCACAGTGATGGGAAGGAAACCATCGAGGGCAGAACAGGGGGCAACGGCGAGCTCGGGAAAAACTTTGGCATCAGCAGTGGATTGCACCTGCCTATGTCCTTCCACGAAAAAAGCCTCGCCCCCTTCGCTGGCCTTGGGAAGTTGCGCCTCCGAAGCTTCTTTGCCCGAGGGCCTAGCAGGGTTAAAAAAGACAGATGAGAAAAAGCGCGTGCCTCCTTGGCCCACTTGGCCGTAGAAGCCTCGTCGACATGCGTTTCGGCGAAGCCCCAGACCTGGTACCTAGAGACGTTCTCCTAAAACAATCTGATAGCCTGGGGCCCGAGCTGGGTGGCATTACTGTAAAAACCCTGAAAGACCTCGGACTCAGAAGCCGTAGTCGACGTCGAAGCGCTCCGATGTGCCGACCCGCCTCCGAAATCCTTGCACCTGCCAGACTTGACCACGCCAGCTGAGCCTTCTCGAAATTGAAGATCGTGTGCCGTGACTGACTGGCCTGCACTGCCCGTCAAGCCTCCTGGCTCGAGGGCCGCCAAACCTTGCTGCGCCCTGGGCGCTGATGGTCCCCCAGGGTCTCCCATAGCGCCCAGGAGGCTGGCGGCCCCCGAGGGGTCGGGGCGTGCAAGGACTAACAAGTCGTCACGGTCGTAAACGCGCGCCTCCTCGATGGATTGCGCCAGCACCGTGGGAGGCGTGCTGGCGCCCACGGAAGGTCACAAAGCTCCAGTGGGAGTGGTCGCCGCCGCCGCTGATGCACTGCTGGACGCTGCATCCTTGGCTGCCGCTGCCTTCTCCGCTGCCTGTAGCTTGACTTCACTAATACGATCAGCCTCACGTTGGAGTTGAGCTTCAGGAGACTCCTGGGTGAGGTCGACTGGAGTCGAGCTGGCTACCTTGGGATCGTCGCCCCCAGCACCATCAGCACGTCTCTTCTTTGCCAACCTGTCGTGGAGCTGCTTCTGCATCTGCTCCTTCTTGTTGACCCAGGTCATGATCTCCTCATTCTTGGTCTCCATCTGCGTCTTGAAGCCTTTGAGCTGTCGCTCGATCTCCTTGAGTTCGTCTTTCTCCGTGTCTGTAATACATGGGATGCCGTCTATGTTCTGGAAGAAAGTCTCGTCGAAGCATACTCCGAAGAAGCCCTCCTTGCCAGATTCTGGAGCTGCGATACCCACGCTGGACGCCAGGGCCTTGGTAGCCGTCAACTTCTGCCGTTCAGCCCGCGCAAGTGCCAGAGAAGTCTCCTTCTCGCGAGCCTCCGCTCGAGACAAGTTGTTCCTGGCCTTGATGAAGGACTGGATGGCCTGGTCGTGCTTCAGCGTGGCATCCCGCACTGCTCCTGATGCACGTTTGACTGCTTCATCGGGCGAGGTGTCGCTGCTCTGAGAGGCTCCTTGGGCCTGCTTCAACTTATCAATCTGAGCCTGCAACGCCGAGCGAAGAGCTGGATCTTCCGCGACAAGAGTGGCCGCCTCAAGCTTAGCCAGGGGCGTGGGCTCAGTGGCAGGGCCTTTGCCTCCGACGGCCGCAGGAGCCTTGACCAGCTGATTGTCAGCCTTCATGCTCTTGTCACCCTTCTTCTTGCCCAAATGCAAAGTCAGCCAAGTGCCACAGGCACACGTAGAATTGCGTGCCAGAAGAATGTCGTTATACTCACATGTGTCACAAGACGAACATCGTGTCCATAATATTCGAGTGCTGCTGCCATCGTTTCCTTTACCCTTGGACTTGGCACCTTTGTGTCCACGTCCACCCATGGCAGGAAAGAGAGAGAGAGTCCCCTTTAGCCACCGTGCGAGCAGCACAGCGCACGGGCCCCTCAAGCACCACGAGGAGGTAGGGACTATGGTTCGATGCGCAGTCCCCTGCAACTGCAGCTACAGGACGGAGGGGCACCTGAACCAGAATGGCTTGAGAAGGGGGAGGGGGAGGATGAGTCGGTGGACAAGGAGGGAGAGACTGGGACAGAGGGAGGGTGGACGGACAAACGCAGGGAGAGATGGGTGAGGGAGTAGTTAGCTGATCTAACATGCGCATTACGCTCGTAATTTGCACGACCGCACTAACATTGCTTGTCTTCCAACCGCTACGTGCTGCATGCTCAGGGCTGCAATCCGCAGATTGCATGCATCTGCGGACCATGACGGCAAGAGATGCACAATCCCTTATACGAGGGCGCCACGAACAGACCCAGAGAACAACCCCAGCGCCGCCGACATGCTTCCCTCCCCCTTGGAGGCGGCTGGGGGATCTGCACTGGTTCGGACCCCAGACAATCGGTCAGGAGGAGGAGGAGGAGACGGAGGCAGAGGAGGGTCAGGAGGGAGAGATGATGCCAAAAGTCAGCTCAAACTCGGTTCCTGGACCCCTCCCCGGGGTTCGCCTGGCGCAAGTTTTCACCCTGGAGCCGTTTTCTCGACGGCCCCGGGGCCCCCAAAAACGGCAAAAAAAGCCTCCCCAAATTAAACGCCTCGAACCTGCCCCCCCTTCCTGCTGGCCAGAACCAGTGCTTGGCCGCCTCAGGCCCCCAGCCAACTCCAACCCCGAAGCGCCGCCGATTCAGTCGGGGCGTTGACCTAAGGAACCCTAAATAAGGAACGAGGCCCCTTTTTTTCCATAAGTTGAACTTCGACTTCCCATCGAAAACAGAAGGAAACCCTGAGGCAAGCTGTGAAACAATCAAGGAACACGGAGCCCCTCCCCAACGAGAAGGGTTCCTTCTTCAGGGCCCCGACTGTATATCCGGCGGTGGCCCCACGGGACAGCCCTGGAGTGGGCCCCGCCGCAGCCGAGCCGCCGCCCCGAGCCGCGGCGCCTTCGAGGCGAGCGCCTCGAGCTTGCCGCCCAGGCCCTGCGGCGCAGGGCTCGACCCATGTGGAGGGTTGTCCGTCTTCCGCTGGGACGCGGGAGGACACGTTCTGACATGTTATGACTACCTACCAGACCACCCCAACCCAGCCCGAAGACCCGAATTGCGGGCTGGGGGGGGTAAGGGTTCCACACGTGTTTTTTCGATGCTTCCCGACCCCCCCAACTGGAAATCGAGGGTAGATCTGAGCCTTCGGGTTGGGTTGGGGTGGTTTGGTGGGTGGTGATTTTAGTATTGTGCGCCCCCCGTGGGCACGTCCGAACCCAACACGTCGTGCACACACAATTCGCAATGTATCGTTGCCCAGGTGGCACGGCAAGCAAGCGCCCGCTCGCCACAGAGCATATACGACAAGATTTCTCAGCGCGCGCATCGCCCCATTGGGGGCGACGCGCGCATAGTCCCACCAGCCCTTTAGGGCGTGGGTTGTTGAGGGCGTTTCCTCTTCCAACCTCCTTCTTCCCTTTCGGGGAGGGATACATATGTCTATCTATCTATCTATCTATCTATCTATCTATCTATCTATCTATCTATCTATCTATCTATCTATCTATATATATAGCACTATTCCCTATTAGTAACCCCTCCCCCAGGCGAGCGGCAGCCAACCAGGACCAATGAGGACCCCCTCACACCATCCCTGTCAAAAAAGGAAGCCACTTCGGGGCAAATTCTTGGGTCATGATCGGGGGGGCCGCGAGCACTTTATATTGTTTTTTGGAAGGGACGGCGGGGTTACTGGGATCGTTATTACTATCTGGGTACGTGCCCCTCTCCGTTCTGTCAGGCCCCCCACGGAGGCCACGACAGGCTGCGCCCGCAATCGGAATACCTTGTTGCGCATCAGAGGTCGTGCTTTTCCCGCTCCACCAGTCTCGAAACAACTATCCAGGCGAACGGCCCAATCACACACAACTGCGCGTACCGCAAAGCAAGGCCACATATGTGGACTCTCCCACTGGGGCCTTCGGTAAAACACCCCACGTCGCCACGAAGCGTGCGAAGGGTGCCGGAATAGGTGTTCGGCCGTGCGTGGACGCATCCTTTGGTGCCTCATGCCGAGCACTGTGTCAAACCCATGGGGCCACCCTGCCAAAATTGACAAGTCCCGTGCTGCCTCCCCTTCCTCCCCCCCGTCCTCGGCCGATGACGACGGCGATGACGATGATGGTGATGTCGATGCTGACGATGATGATGTCGCCGCAGCCTAAACCGAGGGCGGGGAGGAGCCGGTGACCACGCCTCCTCGCGACGGCTCCTCGGATAACACGTTCGCCAGGGACTGGGGTCTGGAAGGGATCAGGAGTATGGGAAGCAGGAGTCGTGTGTCCCTCTCTGTATCCAGCAGCGTATTCATCGTCTCGGCCATCCCTTGCAGCGCCATGGACGTGGCTACCCTTCTGTTGCATCCTCGGGGGACCTTGTCTGTCCCGTCGCGGCCCTGTCCGCGTCGAATCCGTATCGAATCCATGTCGGACGCGTCGGATCCGTGTCGAATCCGTGTCGAATCCGCGTCGAATCCACGCCAAATCCACGTCGAGTCCGCATCGAGCCCGCGTCGGGCCCCCAAAAAGGCACCAATTTTGGGGACAGGCGAGGCCCCCCGAAGATGCAACCTAAGCTATCCCCAACCCCCGTCGGGGTGCCCCCTCTGGCGTGGCGGGAGGAGAAGAATCGGTGGGTGTTTTGGGTGGTGCTTCCCTGTTGGTATCTCACGGGTCTTCTTCCGGGGGCTCTGGTGGGATTGGGGGCGGGAGGGCAGAACCCCTCCGGGGTGGATCGACGGCAAGGGCGGTTGGGCCTTCGGGTTTTTCCCCTGCCTCGTGTCCCGAGAGGGAAGGCGGCTGCGCCTCTGGCCCCAGCGAGTCGCATCGAGCGAAGCGGACCCGCGTCGTCGTCTAGCGACCCACATATGCCCTCATAACACCGACCGACCGATCAGGTGCCAGAGACGACAACAGCGTCTCAGGAGATGGAAGGCGATTCAGAAGGTGAGGAAGTCCCTGGCGAAATGTTGTCGTGCTCTCTATCGCTTGTCTTTTTTTAAACCATGCCATCAAGGAGAGAAGAGGCTCGGAGGAGATCTTCCTTCGGGGGGGAACCTGGAACGCGCGCTAACTCGGATCGAGCCTCGGATACGAGCCTGCGCAACTCACTCAAATTATAATGTTTCTTGACAGTGGTGGAAGATGTTGGTGGGATTTTGGGATGTTTACGGATGCAAGTTTCTATCAAAACGGAGTCTGGGAGTATGATGTAGGCTCAGAGGCGTGGACATTTACCATTCGTGGTAAAGTCTGCGTGGTGCTGAATCAACGCCTCACGGCTGTGTCGCGGGAGGGAGGATCGAGGGTAGTGGTTAGGGGAAGGTGGGACAGGAATAGGGCGAGGGTCATAGGGGGTCGCGTTGTGGGCAAACGTCGGGGGATGTCCTTTGTCGCCCTTTACGCCCCCGTCTCGGGCACCGTCAATGAGGAAGCCAGAGATGCCTTCCACGGAAAACTGAGGCACGTGGAAGCCTGCGTGCCAGAACATGACAACCTGCCTTCTCATCGTTGAGGGGGCTTCAATGTTGAAGTCGAACGTCCTGAAGGCGGGGGGGAGGAGCGAAGAGGTCGATTCAATAAGAGTTCCCCAGATCGCCTAACTGCATGTTGCTCCCATCGCACTTAAGTACCACATCCCAGAAATAATTTCGAGCACCCAGAAAAGTATCGAAACAGTGTCGAACGAGTATAGCCTCCTAGGGCCCGACACGCGAAAACCCTCAAGTGTCGGTACTTCCTTGGTGCTCGAATTTCTTTCTGCTGGTCAAGGCTAAAATAAGCTGGAACATCATAAACCTAACCTCGCGCATCGCGTCCCGCGATGCGCGTCGCGCGGTTACTTTCGCGCCCTCGCGCCGTGCTCTCCAACCTAAACCGCGATGCGCGAAGCGCGATCATCTTCGCGCCCTGCGGGGTGACCCAGGTTCCTGGGGAGTGGCACAACTCCCCATCGCTCGGGCGTCCATTCCCCCGTGCATGTTTCGGCTTCGTGCGTGCGCTTTTTCCTCGCTCGAGGATCCAGGGTGCTCCTCGAGGGTCCTCGCCCCCAAAAAATGCACACGTCCGAGCGATGTCGGGGGCGGCCAACAGGGGGGCGTCCAAGGAGAGGGTGGGGGGGCGCAAATCATGGCCGGCGGCATTTGCGCGGCCCAGGGGGGCGGGGGGGCCGGGGACGTATCGAAACAAGAGGAGGCGCCATGAAATCTGGGGAAATATCATGGCCCCCCTGGTCATCCCCCCCTCTTTCGCCGAGCGCGTTCCGCTACTCGCAAAGTGCCTGCTCGCAAACGTCCGAAACACACCTGTCCGCTTTGACGTGATTCATCGTAGATCCCCAGCGGGGGACCCAGGCCATTGGCGAGTCGTGACTTTGCGAGCAGTGGAACGCGCTCGTCGACTCTTGGCCGCCCCTGACCAAGACAAGAAGTAGGAGGGTCGGGTCGGGCGAAAGGGGGGGATAGCAAAGGGGGGGTTTGAGAATCAGCTCGCGTAGCTGATTTTCCCGGCGCCGGAGGCGGCTATGTATCGAGGAATGGGCCCCTCGGTGAGGCCGAAACCAGCTGCATGCAGCAAATTTCGTACCCCCCCCTTTCCCAATCCCCCCCTTTCGTCCGGCCCGGGAGGGGAGCGCCGGAGGCCGCGCGCGGCGGGGCTCGCCGCGGCCCGCGGCTCGTGCCGCTGGTGCCGCTGCTGGGGCTGGCAGCCGCAGCACGGGCACTCGCCGGTGCCGCAGGCGCCGGCGGCGGCCTCCACGCCTCCTGCGGCGCCGTGCTCGACTTACAGTCGGAGCGTGGACCCAGGGAACCCTAAATAAGGAAGGAGGCCCCCTTCATCCACAAGTTGAACTTCGATTTCCCATCGGAAACCAAAGGAAAACCCAAGGCAAACTGTGAAGCAAGCAAGGAACACAGAGCCCCTCCCAAACGAAAAGGGTTCCTTCTTCAGGGCCCCGACTGTAGGTCGGGCATGGCCTCCTACAGGCGGATCTTGGCAGGAGCATGAAAAGTAGCCAGCGAATAGCCCAAAATAGTCGAACAATAATCGACAAATCGTCTCCAGACAATTTTTCCGACCATTTTTGAATTTTCCTCCTGCAGAGGGACATGCCCGACTTAATGCCCGACTCTTGTAGAAGCCTCCCAGATCTCCCCGTCGCTCGGACGTCCATTCCCCGTGCACTTTTCGGTGTCGCGTGTTTCTGTCTTCGCAGGATGGTCAAAATGCTCCTCGAGGGGACTAGCCAGGGAAAAGATGCAAACGTCCGAGCGATGCCAAGGGATTAGGTCCGAGTAGATGGGGGGGCAGAAGATCTCGCCGCATCGGCGATGCATCGGCCATGCACTGGCGACGTCGGCGATGCAACGGCGACGTCGGCGTGGAGAAAAGTGGGCCCCGGAGGAGGAGGAGGAGGAGGAGGAGGAGGAGGAGGAGGAGGAGGAGGGAGGAGGAGGAGGAGGGAGGAGGCGGAGGAGGAGGAGGAGGAAAAGGACGGGGAGGAGTGGGAGGGGGAGGGGGACAAGCGAGGTGCGCTCGCGTCATATCTGACGTCCGACCCCTCCCTCCCATCCCTTACCATGGCGTAGATCTCCTCCCTTTTCGCACAATCGGATGTCGTAGCATGCCATAGCATTACATGGCATAGCATGGTGTCGAAAATCAACGCGTAGCATGACATAGAATGGCGTGGCGACGCCCCAAGGTGTGGGGGGGGCTTTTGCGGCCCAGAAAATCAACGAACCGACACCGAAAACGTAATTTCTTCCGATGTTTTTTTCGGGGGGGGGCGGCATTTTCTTGATTTTGGGGCCTTTGTGGAAGGACCGAAAACCATGCTGTGGCATGGCGCTGGAAGTAATGGCGCCATCGCTGCAGCGGAAGCACGATTCGGAACGAGCGGAAGCGCGGAAAGCGGGAACACGATTCGGAACGAGCCGTAGCCCGAAAATGAGGCCAGCGCTTCAGCGAGAGCAAAATTTTGGAAAAACAAAAAAAACGAAAACCCAATTCCTGGGAATCCGGTGTAAAAAAAACACTACGCGGAGGGGGGTCGGACATTCCCCGGACGCCACCATAGGAGAGAGGATAGCAGTATTCATCGGAGGTTGGGGGGTGAGTCCGACGCGAAACGGAGACCCCCCCTACCGGCAAATCGATATAGGTTTCGGGTTCGTGTCGTGCGTGCCCTGCGTGCGTGCGGGCGAGGCGAAGCTGCGTGGGCGGGCGAGAAGAAATCCTCCTGTGGCTGGGCCGCGACCAGACCAAATGTAACTCCTCCGGCGGCCGGTGCCGCGTGGTGTCCCGCCGGTGTCCCGCTGGTGTCCCGAAATCCTCCTGTGGCTAGGCCGCGGCCAGACCAAATGTAACTCCTCCGGCGGCCGCTGCCGCGCGGTGTCCCGCCGGTGTCCCGCTAGTGTCCCGAAATCCTCCTGTGGCTGGGCCGCGGCCGGACCAAATATTTTTCCTTCGGCGGCCAGTGCCGCGCGGTGTCCTGCCAGTGTCCCGTGCTGTCCCGTTGAGTGAGATCGATCGTGAGATCGATGTGGTGCCCCGAGGTGTCCCGTGGTGTCCCGTTGAGTGAGATCGCTAGTGAGATCGATAGTGAGATCGACAGGTGTCCCGTGGTGTCCCGTGGTGTCCCGTTGAGTGAGAGCGATAGTGGGATCGATACTGAGATCGATGTGGTGCCCCGAGGTGTCCCGAGGTGTCCCGTGATGTCCCGCTGAGTGAGATCGATAGTGAGATCGATAGTGAGATCGACAAGTGTCCCGAGGTGTCCCGCGGTGTCACGTTGAGTGAGATCGATAGTGAGATCGATCGTGAGATCGATGTGGTGCCCCGAGGTGTCCCGTGGTGGCCCGTGGTTTCACGCGGTGTCCCGTTGAGTGAGATCGATAGTGAGGTCGATGGTGAGATCGACAAGTGTCCCATGGTGTCCCGTGGTGTCCCCTTCAGTGAGATCGATAGTGAGACCGATTGAGTCAGATGTTGGTTCCCCCGCTCTCCCCCCCCACAACCTCCTTATCACCCTAAGGGTGGTCGTATAGGTATTGTGCAATTGTGGGGGAGGGGGAGGGGGAGGAAGAGGAGGAGGAGGAGGAGGAGGAGGAGGAGGAGGAGGAGAGGAGGAGGAGGCAGAGGAGGAGGAAGAGGAGGAGGAGGCGGAGGAGGAGGAAGAGGAGGAAGAGGAGGAAGAGGATAAGGATGATGATGATGATGATGATGATGACGATGATGATGATGATGATGATGATGATGATGATGATGAGGAGGAGGAGGAGGAGGAGGAGGAGGAGTCGGAGGAGCCCTGGGATGTCCTGCAGGAGCGAAGGTCTTTAGGGTTGACTCGCTTCAGTCTATACCACGAGGGGTCCTCGTGGCGCCCCTGCGGGAGGCACTACAACGCCACCACGCAGCGGCCCCCTGACTACTTCCCGGTGGTCTTGGCGGTGGCGGGGGTGTCCTTGGTCCTGTTCCGCTGGGCCAGGTGGCACCGCGAACGGGTTCGGGCCAGCAGCCGACGCGCTGCCGACCCGACCCCATGCTGCAAACGCGCCCGAGTGGCGACGATCGAGGGGGAGAACGGCGTTGTTTCTTCTATGGGGATGTCATCGGACGAGCTTTTCGAGTGTTATCCGTGGGGTCCGGGGTACCGCTTGGCCGCCGATGCGAACGTGTACGAGTTCAGTTTCACGCTCGAGCCGATCGAGATTTTGGGGGACCTCCTCTCGTCCCTGGGCCTTGACGAGAACGAGGGTTTCAACCTACGCAGTTTTGGATGCATCGATTCTTACTCTGGGGAGCCGGCGACGCACCAGTCGGCCTTTGTTTTGACCGAGTACGAGTCCAGTTTCACGCTCGATTCGCTCGAAATCTTAGACACGAACCTCTCCCCGTCCATGGGCTCGGCCGGGTACGAGGATTTCGACACGAATGACTCTTGGGACCCGCTCTACGGAGGGGGCGGCAAAGGCGGCAGCAGGACCTCGCAGCGGGTCCGGGCCGACAAGTCCCAGATTCAGGACCAGCTCATCGCCCTCGCGACGGCCGTCGCTGAGCTGCAGCGTGCGCAGATGGGCACCCGCACCACGCCGAAGGCTGGTCGTGCCGAGGCGCGGCCTTCAAAGCCCACCACCACGCGCCCTAGGCGTCAGAGGCGGCAGAGGGAGGACATCCCGATCGTCGCCAAGCTGCGCTCCCTGCTGTCCGTCGTGGACGGCGGCATGAACGTCAGGTCATCTCGACCTTCACTCCGGGAGCATCGCCCTCGGCGCGGGACGCGCCCGAGGCTCCCCAAGAGAAAGAGCCGCCCCAGGTCAGGGCGCGTCTTTTTCAGGACCCCTGGGGACAGGCCAAGATCGTCACTTCCAGCGCGGTCCGGGCCTCCCTGGAGCAGTCCACCGAGTCCATGGTGATCCTGGCGGCCACCCGCGCGGAGTACGAGCAGTGCGAGCGCGCGAGGAAGGCCCTCGGGAACCGCCAGAACATCACCTACGTCGTATTGGACAGCAACGGCCCCGACTCGGTCCTCCTCGAGGGCCAGCGCGGCCCCCGCTCCGCCAACGCCAACATCACCTACCTCAGCGAGTCCGCGCCGAAGTGTGCTGGGCTCCACGCGGCTATGAAGGACGACGAGCCCGTCCCAGCCACCAAGCTGAAGCTGGTCAATTTTCGGATCACGATCTCCGCGGAGTTCGCCGACGAGACCCTCTTCCACGTCGCCTCTGCGGAGCCGCAGACCACCCCCGCCCTTGTCCTCGGAGACGTCCTCGCGGAGCGCGTGCTGCGCACCCGAGGTGCCATCGCCTACGACGCGGAGGTCACATGCATCGCCTCGACGACCGAGGCCAACGCTGCCGATTTCCGGACAGCAGTCCCACCGAGAGGTGCCTTCATCATGCAGCAGGACGCCCCCATCGCCCCGCGATGGCTCTCCCGGAGGGCCGACGAGGAGGACGAGGAAGGCACCCGCAAGTACTACGACCGTGTCTGCTAGCTTGCCCAGCAGCGGCAGGGCCACATGTTGTACCGCCCTCACGGAAAAGCCCAACTGGGAGTCGCTGGCGCCGCTGGGGTACATCCTGGAGAGGCTGATGCCATCAAATGGCATGTGCGGAACGCACCCGCGCACATGGTCACTGCCCAAGAATTCACCACCTGGGCCACGGAGCGCGGCTTCCAGAACGTCGCCAACGCAGCCAGAGCAGGCGCCCGTGCGTGGACCTTCTTCGGGGACACGCCGGCGGGCGTCGTGGCCACAATCCACACCTTCAAGTCCGGAGCCGTCGTGTCTCGGGCTTTCTCGAAGAACGGCGCCCCCGCCAAGGCCGCCCGCCAGGCGACCAGCAAGGAGGCCTGCCAACGCTGGGGAGCTCCCAAGGCTTCGCCCCAGTACGACGCCGCTGTCGCCCCCCCGCCTGCCGAGGAGAGGGCCGCCGCCCCCGCGGACGCCCCCTCGGGCGCCGCTGCCGCCGCCGCCGCCGCCGAGGGCGACCCTGCGGGCGGAGCTCGCAAAGCTGGACCCGCCCCGCACGAGGCGGCGCCCCCGAACAAGCACGCCAAGGGCGAGAACGGCCAGCCAGTCCCAGCTGGCCCGTCCGCCCCGCCTTTCACGAAGTTTTTCAACGTCCGAGCCTGTGGCGGCGGTGGGGACTGCATGCACATCGCCGTCGCAAAGGGGCTGGCCGCCATCACGCCGTCCAAGAGCATCCCGACCGCCGACGACTTCGAGCCCGGCGGCCGGCTCCAGGGCAATCTCCGCCTCGCTGCGCAGGAGGAGGCCCTCAAGAAGACGTTCAAGGCGACCGCGGCGGACGCCGACAAGATCGGCACTACAAGAACGCCTGCCTCCTCCCTGGCCGTCCGGCTGCTCGCAAAGCGGCTGAACGTCGACATCTACGTGTGGCCCCGTGCGCCGGGCGCGGAGCAGTGGGTGCTCTACGGCCGGAAACGCGGAGGGAAGTCACGGAAGAAAGAGCTGTGGTTGAAGTTGGAGGACCACCACTACGAGTGGCTCCAGCCGAAGCCGGACCAGCAGGAGACGACCGAGTACCGCCAGACCCTCGATTGCTGGCGCGAGAAGGCCCTGGGCTACCCGACCAGCGGCCTGCAGGGAAAGGGCCGCTCGCTCGATCCCGACGCCGCGTCCATCCTGGGAATTCCGGCCCCATCCAGCAGGGCCGCCTCAAGCCGCGCGCCGGCGCCGCGTCTCGACCCCGAGGCCATGTCCATCCTGGGCATTCCCGCCCCTCCAAGCACGGCAGCCGCCAGCCGTGCCCATGCGCGCCGCCCCGCGGCTGCCTCCTCCAGGGGAGCCCGAAGCATCCTTGGCATCCCCGCCGACGACCCAGACGATGAGATGCCAGTTGCCTACGCCAAAGGCGACTACCTCAAGTGCCCCTGCGGCCAGTGGGCGCCGCCCGCCCCCCCTGCCCACCTCTCGGGGAGCCAAGCCTCAGCCTGGCCACCGTCCACTGGCGGGAGTGCCAGGGCGCCGTCCCCCCCAGGCTGAAAGACCAGCCCGGCAGCGTCAGCCGCCGCGCCATTCAAGCAAGCTTCTGGGCCCGGCCTGCCTTTCGCGAGGCCCGCCGCGCGAAGCTTTTGGCAGCGCACTTGAAATGGAAGGCGGCCTTGCCGGCGAGCGTCCAGCCGGGTGTGTGCAGCCCCGATGAGCGCACGGTTTCCTCCAAGGTCCTCAAGGGCGGGAGCATCCAGCACCACTACACGTGTTCTACATGCAGCAAAAGTACTCACCTGACCCAGTTCAGGTACTACCCATGCAGGGCCCGGCCTGCCACCATGACGCGCCTCTCCATGCTCGCGGCGATGCGCGGAGAGGAGGCCGCCAACAGGGTCCACCAGGCGGAGGGTGCAAGCCGCAAGCGGTTTGCCAAGACCTACGCTACCAGGCGGAAGGAGCTCTACAAGATTCGCTACGCCGACCCCGAGCAGCGGAAGACGAAGCAGCTGAAGGACAAGATCCGCTTCGCGAAGTGCTCGCGAAGAGCTGAAGGACCAGAAGCACATCGCCCTCCAGAAGCGCCTGAGCCAGGAGCGCCGCACGGCGAAGATCGCCAAGAAGCGGCCCGCCGCGGCTCGCTGAAGGCGCCCACCTGCCGTAGACCCCCTGTACAGCGGGGGGGGCGAGAAGGGGATGACGGAGCTGCAGGTGGCCACCCTCGACGTCGCGAGCCTCCGGGCGGACCGCTTGGAGGAGATCTTCACGTTTCCTGCACTTCGTCACGCACATGTTCTTATTTCTTCAGGAGGTCCGGCTAGCCTCCGCTAAGCCCGCGTGGGTCACCAGACTCGCGCTCAAGTATGGTTGGCGCGTGGCGTGCTCCACGCCTCCACCCAGGAACGCCAAGCGTGCCGTTCAGCAGGGCGGCACTGCCATTTTCTGGCGCCCATCTCTTGGGCGTGTTGCTGTTCATCGAGCCGCTTCCCTTCGTGAAATTGCTATTCGTACCAAGCTGGGAGTTTTTGCATCCGGGCATGGGCCAGCTGCAGTGCGCTCCGACCCCTGGATGGAGGAAGTCGTCAATTTCACATCCACCGTGGCTCGTGGTACTCCGCCGGTGCCGCGGTGCATCGCTGGCGACCTGAGCTGGCGCCCCTCTTACGTCAACGCGCTGCCGACGCACGCCTTCCTGTGCGCCGCAACTACGCCTACGACCCTAGCAGGGGCCTCTCCTACGCGAGCCGTGGGGGCCGGCATCGAGCTGAAGCTTGAGAGCGTCGCCTTCCTCCCGCTCGTTCCTCATCGCGGGCTGGCGATCTTCTCTGCGCAGGTCGCCGCCCCGTCGGCGCAGGCTACGCGAATGCGCCGCACTACACGGTTCACGCTCGACCCGGGCACCATCCTGCTGGCGAGCGACACCGAGGAGCTGCAGAGCCACATGGATGCCACCATGCCGGCCTGCCCAGCCGCCGCCCCTCTCCCGGAGAGGCGGGAGCGATGGCGCGCCCGGGCCGAGGGGGCACTGACGGCAGCTGCCCACCAGGGGTGGGCACTGCAAGACGGGGCTGCTGAACGCCCCAAGGGACCCCCCCCTACCTCGCGCAGGGTGGCCACGACTCCAGCGGTGCGGCCCGCCGAGCCGATGGAGTGGCACGCCTGAAACGCCTTGGTCGCCGCGCTGCCCACCAGCTCCGCGACCATGCAGACGAGCTCATCGCTGGCCCTCTTCTGCGCCAGTACGTGGACTCGGCCCTCCGGGGCCGGTTGACAGCTGGCCCGAAAGGCTGGCCGACGCACGCAGAGGCACACAGCAAGATCTCGAAGGCCATCTCCGCGATCCAGCGGGACCTGCTCAGAGATCGCCGCTCCGAGTGGCGCCGCCTCTTCCAGCACTTCACGACGGACACGTGGAGGGCAGCCACTGCAGGGGTTCATGGGCCCTCCGAGTGCCCCAGTTTCAATGCCGATGACATGGCGGAGGAGTGGAAGCGAGCGCGTGCCCCGTCAGACCCCAACTACGACGAGCAGAGGTGCGCGGCCAGGTGGGAGCAGTACGCCGCGGAGGCGCACGAGCCCTTGCCGAAGACCGCCAACGCCTACGACGAGGAGTGGCACCCCTCTTACGCCGACTTCCGGGTCGCCGTGCGCAAGGCCAAAGGCAGCGCAGGCTATGACGGTTGGCACTCTAGCGAGCTCAAGCTGATCTCCGAGCATTTCGAGTTCTTGCTTTTCGAACTCTACACGCTATGGCGGGACACCTGCGAGACCCTCCTGGTCGAGAGGCCCACCACCGAGCTCCAGCACCTCCTCTTCGCCTGGCGGGTTGATGGGGTGCCAAAGAAAGACCCGACGCAGTCCCGGCCTATAGGGGTGGGCTCCGTGCTCCTCAGGGCCTGGCTCACAGCCTGTGAGCACAGCCTGCCCACGCCACAAGACGCTCAGTTCGCCTGCAAAGCGGGCTCCACGGTGGTCCACGCCTGCTGCTCGTGGCTGCACGCCTGCCAGCACGGCTCGTGCGGACTGGAGCGGCCTGTCCAAGTGCTACGACAACGCACCGCAAGCGGTGGCAGACGCGGCGCTCCGCAACGCCCAGACGCCACGCCGAGTGCGGGCGGTGACTAACGCTGCCTGGCGGGGCCCCCGGAGGTGCCAGGTGGCGGGGGAGCTGGCCAGTGAGACACTCTGGCCTACGCGCAGCCTCGCTCAAGGGGACAGCACGGCGCCGAAGGCCCTGTGCCACGCACTTTCCCCCTGGGAGATCAACGGCACCAAGTTCCTTTTCATGGACGACAGGTCCGCCGTCTTCGACTCCGCCCCGCAGATGGAGTCGGACGCGCAGGCCACCAACGCCTTCGACTCAGGCACGGGCGCTATCGAGAACGTCGGGAAGCGCCAGGTCTGGAAGCGAGGGGACAGGACGCAGATCGAGCACATCAACATCCTCGCTGTCCCTGATGCTCCGGATGAGCCGATCACGCCTGCCGGGGGCTGGACCAAGCTCCGCAAGTGCTTGCACGCCATCCGAGGCCTCCCGGGAGGCAGCGAAGCCAGGGCCACGGCGGTCCGGACCTACGCTAAACCGTTGGGGACTTGGTGTTCCCCGGTTTTCTCTCTGCCACCGCCCGACGTCGTCCCAGCAGCGATGTCAGCGGTGCTTGCGACGAGGTCCACTTGGTGGTGCCGAGGCCGTTTCTGGGCCTCGAATATCGACCTGCACCCCATCTTCAGCGCGGTGCTCACGGCCATTGATCGCATCACCACCTGGGACCTCCGCTGGAGTACATTCCTCGAAGTGAATTTCACGACGTTCTTCGATGCCATAGGTTTCGAGTTCCTGCAGTACGACCCAGAGCGCGGAGTGCAGTTCCGACGCTCGGCGGACGAGCCTGATGTCCGAGTTCGCCGATTGTGCGGGCGCAGACACATCTTCTGGAGCGACGAAGAGATGGTGCCGCACCTCCTTCGCCAAGTATGCCGGGCGAGAGCTCTTGCCCACGCATCCGCGTCTCGCCACGACTCGGAGGGGGTCGACCAGATCGACCTTGAAGCCTCCTCGGCACGAGCGTGGTCCACTTTCCGGGACTCGCTGACCCTGGAGGACAGGATCCACTTGAAGATCTTTCGCTGCGGAGCGACACACAGCCCGACGAGAAGATGGAGCACCACCAGGCCCGATCTTACGGCGGCCTGCCCGTCCTGCGGGGGTCCCCATCGACCGAGTGCGCGCCACTACGTGGCCGAGTGCGCCGCCCTGGCGGGTTTCCGGCAGGAGCTGAACGACGCGTACCACATCCCACCTGGCTGGTGGGCACGCCAGCCGCGGGCGACGCTGAAGACGGGATGGATCGCTTTCCCGGCTCACGCGTCCGCGGCCCGCAGAGCCGAGCTCCAGGTGGCCGTCTGCCGCATGGGGCTCGTTGCCATGGCGCAGATGGCAGATGATTGCGAGGTGTTGAAGAGAGCCTAGGGCATCCGAGCGACTTCATCCCGATGTTCGACTTCTATGGCCTTTTTTTCGACCTCCTCCTCCTCTCCATGTTCACGTTCCCCCAGGTTCTAACTTTCGTTCAGTTGTTCCTGATGTACAACTCGCCCCCGGAGGCACTACAACTTAGTTATCGACGAGGGTGCGACCACGTGAGCTTACAGTGGAGACCAGCCCACAAGAAACCTTCCGCACGAAACCCAACCCTGAGACTCCAGGGTGTCCACTGATTATTGGTGTGGGAGCGTCACGCTCTCCATCGCAGAAACATCGAAGCCCAAAGCACCCAAGAGGCAAGCAGGGTGCTTCTTGGCATGGGCTTCCACTGCACAGCGCTCCATATTTGCATCACTGTATATTCCTCCACTTCTCGGATCAAAGCAACTGGCAAACGGATCGTCGCTGGATGGGCTGTTGTGGATATGCACGCGAAGCGTCAAGAACTTGGTGATTCGAATGGAGATCAGTTTCGTCGTCGTCGTTTTGTGGTCGCGACAACTGAACGGCCGCATCGGGCGACCCACTCTTGCCTTCGGCGGTGGCGAAAACCGGCGGTTCCGTCAGACCACGGGTGGGAGGGTGACGGCGGCGGTACCCGCAAGAGTGTCCACGCGAGGAGACTAGGCGGGGCGGGGGTTGAGCGCCCAAGTACGAGCAGTCAGATGCGGCTGGAAGAAGTGGGGCTAGCGGGCCCATCCCCCTTGGCTGGGTGGGTGGGTGGGTGGTTGATCTTGTGTTCACCCATTCTGCACGTGGGCGCCTACCATCACGCGTAACGGACGCAATGCAAAGTTACTGTCTCCCAGACACTGTCAAGATGCGGCTCGCGTAAACGCCTCACTTCAGAAAGCGCAAATGGTTGATCGAGCAACTGCAGAACGGCGACAACCTATGTGGGCGGGGTGGGCATCGAGGCGCGACCGTGATCGCGCACATCGAGTGACGAACCACTCCGCACATATTGCGCGTGAATTAATGGGGGCGATAGATGGGGGGGGAAGTATAAGGTGCACTTTTCGGGCCCTACAGGCCCCCTTTAGAGCCTTGGAGGCCCCCGATTGGAGCCTTAAAGGGCCCCTTTTCTGTCATTAGCCCTCGCTGCCCCCACATGTATCGCCCCCCAATGACACGTCGGTCGGAAGGAGTAGGTAAAACAGGACGCAGGAGAGCGGATCACGTAGATCGGGTCCAGGCCCTCCCAGAGAAGAACAGAACACAGCAAAAACAGATCGGTTCATGAACTAGGAAGGCGCCTGAAGTAGATTGGGCGCCTGCTTGCAATTGGCGGCGAGAGAGGGGGGAAGTGAGGAGGAGAAGGCATTCGCAGAAGGCTCGGAAGTCCCCCGTGATTCTGGGAAGTTTTCTAAGCCTTCCCGGAAGACACAACGAACCTATCGGAAGCTGGAGGCCTTCTGAGAAGCCCCGCCGCCTTCTGGGAAGGCCTTCTCCTTCTCAGTTCCCCCCCGCTCGCCGGTCAGAAGTAGTAAGACTCCTAACGTAGAATTTAGGAGGCTTGGAAATGGGCACCAACACCAACACCGAGGTCTGTCCCAATGGGGGGAAGCTGACCCCAGATTTTGGTGGTGGTGGTGGTAATCTTTCGGCCACCGCGGCAGCCCGAATACTACCACCACCGCCGATATCGGGATCATCTTCCCTCGGTGGAGGCACGCCGCCGATATTTTTGTTTTTTTTTTCGTCCGCCGACGGCCGCGATCGGACGATGGCCGCGCGAGTGCTGGACGTGACGTCGAGAGCAGGCCCTCTGACTACCTACCAGACCACCCCAACCCAACCCGAAGACCCCAATTTCGGGTTGGGGGGATACGGGTTCAATATGCGTTTTTTCAGTGTTCCCCGACCCCCCCAAACTGGAAATGGAGGGCAAATTGAGGCCTTCGGGTTGGGTTAAGGTGGTTTAGTGGGTGGTGACCCTCGGTCTCTGCTGAGGGTCGGTGTCAGCGTAACCCTGGCTTCAAATGTTGCAGGCTCGAACAAATAAGCAGCCAGCGAGCAAGGGCGAGAGGCACGCCGCCGATATTGGTGCTGGTGCTAACCTCGAGGCCTGCGAGAACTGGGCGCCTGCTTTCAGCGACCGGTGGGTTCGCGACGCCCGGGCACAGTCGGACGCTGCGCCGCCCGGGCGTGCGTGCCTGGGCCGCGAGCGGCGCGCAGCGCCCCGTCCTGCCACCGCGGGGCCGAGAGAGTCCCCCCCGGCCGCCCTGGGGGCAGGCGCCCCCCGCGACGGAGGACGAGTAACCCGAAAAGGGCCCCTGACCCTTTGGGAGGGGACCTGAGTCAGGAGGGCCAAACACATTAGGGACAAAGGGGTCTTTTCTACGGATGCGTCGAGCCAAACCGTCCAAGCGTACTATCCTGATGCACAGGCGGGGACCTCCGTGAGGCCACGTCTTCGTTGTGCTATTAGGATTTGGGGTTCCTTGTCTCGATGAAAGGTGTGCCACTGACGGATTTGGTTCCGCCCGTCGATACGATCGGGCCTAAGGAACTTCAGCAGATGCAGCAGCTGCAACAGAACAAAGAGGCCCCAGAGGGCCTCTTTTGGGGGCCCTGAGGGGCCCCTCTTCTGCAGCCCTTGCTGCCCCCCCAATCGCCAGTCGACAGGGCTCCAGCTAAACGGTGTTCTTCGATTTCGCCTTGTTTTCGCTGTACTTCCCTCCGCCCTTGCTGGATCGTGTGGACTACTTCCCTCTGCCGTTCTCATCTACTCTGCCCTCTTCCCTCTGCCATTCTTATCCACTCTGCCCTCTTCCCTCTGCCCTGTCGACTTCGCGCTGCCCTTGCCGAGAAACGAACTCCGAGCGAACCCGGCTCACGATATCGCCAATCGTCGATACTGAAGGGGCCCCAGGACACACAAATAAATACACATAAATGAAAGTATTCCCCATATTTTCCCATATCTTTTTGGGTTTTCGTCTTCCCCCCCACTTCCCATAGTTTCCTATATTTTCTGGGGGTCGACGATTAATTGTGTCTGTGTTTTTGTTCCCCTCCTGAGATACGGTCGGACCTAGGACACACGAACATTTTTCAAGAGCATGGGACCCTCCGCCGGCCAAGACACCCCGAACCGTTACGTCACTCGAGGGGCCTTCCTCAGGAGGCGCAAGAAGATGCGACGAACACGAAACACTTTTTGGTCTGCGCGGCGAGAGCGAACCTCTTCCGATAAAAGCTAGGCGGGCTACGCACAGCTCTAATTGGGGAGACAGGGCACAGGAGGGCGGGGCCTCAGGCGGCCCGAGTGGGCGGGGCCCTGGGTGCAGGCGGTGCCGAAGATGCGACGAACACGAAACACACCAGGGTGCCCTCCCCGAACCGACCTCGCTCTCATGCCTCGGTCCGATCGCAGGGCAAAGGAAGCTCGAGCCTGGGGGGTGGAGTCACGAGAGCACTGAAAACGAATCACCTGTGACAAGAGAGTAGCAGGCAAGTAGAGGCCTCCTAGATGGGGTCGGAGCAGATGGGGTCGGAGGATCGCGCCGCATCGTCGATACATCGGCGATGCATCGGCGATGCACCAGCGATGCATCGTCGACGTCAGCGTGGGGAAACACGGTCTCCACATCGAGCCGCATTGGCCATGCATCGGCGATGCGGCGCGATCCACTGACCCCGTCTGCTCGGACCCCAGCTGGGAGGCCCGGAGCAGGACAACCAGGAGTGAATATAATGCACCGCAGGTCGTCCTGACAGCGACTTCGAGCGCGCGAAAGCACTTCTGGCCTCCTCTGTCGCCTTGGAGGCCGCGCTGCGGGTGTCGTGTACCCTGCCCCGCTTCGCCATGCTCAGAGAGGACGAGGAGAGGACGAGGATGATGGGCGAAGAGGAAACTAGATCGACGTGAAAGAGAGACGGATAAAAGAAACTAGATCGAGGAAACTTGATCGAGGGTAAACGAGGACGAAAGAGAACGAGAAGGGGAGGAAGGAAGATCGCTTGATCGTTTTCTCGCTTTTAGAAACACTGGGGAGGCCCGGGGGCCGCTCTGGAGATCGGGACACTTCACCACAGGGACGCCCGTGCACCAACGGCGTCGGGCTAGAAGGCTGAAAGACATCAATTCTGTACCCCAGTGTGACGGCGAGGCTGAAGGACATTATGACATTCCAGTGGCAACTCATGGGAGCCTCCCATACCATCTTGTTGGCTCTTGCGAAATCGACGCTAATCGACGCTAAATCGACGCTAATCGACGCTAGATCGGCGCTATCTCATCGACTCCAGACGCCAAGCGACGCGAAGGACAGAAGTACGAGGATACTCGAGGTTCCCATGATTTGCTACCGAACGACAAGATACAATTGCACGAAGCCTGCACAGGTGTCGGCTACACGCAAGAGTGACCCTCGGTAAGAGTGACCTTTGGTGCGCGGCTTTTTTGGGGGCCGCGGGGGACCAAACCCGGGCGCGCAAGCCGCTGCTCCTGCTTCGTTTTCAGCCATCTGGGGACCCACCTGTGCCCGCACCAAAGGTCACTCCGGCGAAAGGTCACTCTTACGTCTAGTCGAAGGTGGGTGCCATCACGCTTCAGGGCCTCTTCGAGGGGCGACGCTGTCGAGCTTCAGGGACTTCTTTCCTCGCAGCTGCGTGACGCCTGTGGCGTCAAGGCGCTCCGGCCTCTCTACCGTCGGAGGGTCAGACTTTCCACAGAGCGATGCTCCTGTGAAAGCATGGGGCGTCAATGCTATCGGCCGACACTGCGAAGAAGCATGTCGACAGATGTCGCGTGCGAGTCTCGGCACATCAACCGCGGCACGAGCGGGCCGCAGCACGGAAGTCTACGTGTCGCTGCAACAATCGCGCGCGAGCGGGCCAGAGCTTCCTCGTCGCCATGCCTCCGCGCTGGACCTTGCTGCTAGAGAGGGACATGCCCATGCACCGCACGACACACTGAAGCGACAATACATACGACAGAATCTGTCAGTGTGTGCTTGCGATCTGCTCTTCTTCTTTTC